CAGCAGCACGGTGTGTGTGCGCGCCTATGTACATATCAACGAAATTTTTTGCTGAGTAGCGCGAATATAACGAGAGTGTACAACAAGAGATCCCGTGGCGTATTTCTTAGCATGTTGTCTTTGTTGCTATCAGTCAGCGCATGAAATGCACACTGAAGTGATGTACGACACGTACGAATCGCAATTGAATACGAAATACAATATTGATCGTCCTTTTTTCGCTCTCTCTCTCTCTCTCTCTCTCTCTCTCTCTCTCTCTATCCGCTCACTTGGTGTGTTCACTCGGCATCTCTCAGTCCCAGCATCTCTATCGTTTACTTTGACTTTTTGGCCGATACTCTCACACGATTTATTCGACTGGCTCTAATGCGATGCCCTGAGCGATGAAATGCTTATTCTCTTGATGCTTTGTCACACCGCACCGATTAGAAGTCACCCAAAATGCAGTTGACTTTGATTTTTTTTCTCCTTATTTCACATCTAATTTTGGTTCATTTCGTCTTCGATTCACATCCCATCGTGTCGCATGCGGTCAGTCAACTGGAATTAAAATTTGGGTTACCAATTAATTTCTTTCTTTCCTCTCGCCGGCATTTCCTTATGAATTTGGCAAACTGTTTGAAAGCGAATTACACGCCAACATATTCTACGAATTAGTTGCATGTGTGCGGAATGCCGGACACATTATTTGTGGTGGTTTTAAAATATTTTGTGCCAAATGACCGATTATAATTATATGCGGCCGAGAAAAAAAAACATTATTAGGATGTAAATGAATCAATTTCAATTTTTCGTTTCAATGCACACACCAAACCTTAAATTGCAGTCTCTCTCATTCGCATACACGCATAGTTTGAGATCCCTCCGCAACAGATCTCCCCATGTGTATGTGTGAGACAGTATATTGTGGTCAGTTAAACATGTCAATTGCAGAAATGGTAAATTTTCCAACATTTATCCCTTTTGAACTATGTTCGTCTGCGTTTTCCTTTGTGACTTCATGTTGTTTACATTTGACTTTCAAGCTAAAGAATTTCCATTCAATTCGGTTCGACGAAACAAATGAGATTCTGGACGAAATGAATAAGTCGAACGAATTGAACGAAACGGGTTCGATAAAATCACAAAACCGAAGAATTGGTTTCTTTTTTGTGTGTGTGTACAGATTAGAACAATCTTCTAATCTCTATCGAATTTGAAATCAACACATTCTCATTCAGAAAATGTGAAGCCGAAAATTGCTTGTGGGCATAACTTCTTTTCTTGTGAAATCTTGCATTTAAATCGGATCAATTTGAAGCAACGGCAGGTTTATTGAAATTCCAATTTGCCGGACGACGCACTCCAAACAAAACACCTCCATTGAAAATGGATGCATTTCGTTACAACGAACATCACAGGAGGAAAAAAAACAGACACAGAGAGAGAATCCAACTCCAAAGCTATGGAGCACAATATAACCGAGGTGAGACCGTGTATGTGCGTAATATATGTACATAAATAAAAAGAATAATCGGGCACAAACAACAATTATTCACATGAGCTCATCACTCCCTTATTTTTATTTGCGTATATAAATACCATACATCGCACACACACACAAACACACACACACAGCCACACTAAGGTTTTTCACTCACTATCCAACCGATATTTTATCTGTATCATATTGGTCTGCAGACGACAGTCACCGAAAAAATGTTCGCCACCATAAAATTAATGCGTGGAAAGCGACACAGCGTCCATGCACTCAAAATGCCTTTGTTTGGATATTTTCAACTATTTTGGCAAATATTTATGTTGCATTTGAATGCTTCTGTTGTGGCTACTGTGGCTGCTGCCACTGCTGGTGTATGGTTGCCTTGGACACATGCTTTGGTGGGACATGGGCACAAATGACAGAGAAACGACATACACAGAGAGGGAGAAGGCGAGTGAGAGAGAGAGAGAGAGAAAAAAAAGAAACTTTCCCGTCAAACCAAATTTGTTACAATAACAAAATAGATAAGCCATAAAATATGGTATTTGCGCGCGTGTGGGTATATATGGATGCGCAATGTCGTGTACGACTCTATTTTTTTCTTACTTTCTCTCTCTTTCTTTCTCTGTGTTGGACAATAAGGGTGGCCAAATAAACATGAAATTTGTTGACCATACTATCGCTCGTCCATTTGTCAATGCACCAACGACGAAATGGAAACGAAAGGAAAGAAAGAAGGCAGAAAAAAATGCATATCAATTTATTTTGGCGTGCGTTTTACGGTTTAAATAAATACGACAATGGAAAGCGGGCGTTTCGGATTCTGCTGGCTTGTGTGTCTCTGTGAGTGTGCTGTGAAACTGAAACGAATCACTTCAATTTCGAATGAAATAAATATCCACCGGTTTTGTTACTGTTTTTTGTGTGTTTCCACTAAATTGCTAGATGATTTCTTCCAATTCAGAAGCTAGAAAGAATTCAAATGCATATTATAATGATAAAAACAGATGTTAGCTCACCTGAGCGAGAGAGAGAGAGGACCGTTCATCTCATTCCGTTCAAATCACGATTTATGTCCGACATATCATTTTCTAACTTCTGTTTTACTCGAATATGACGCGCGCGATTTCCGTGTCAGTTATCAACGCACATTATTTTTACCCCATACGAAACTAAATGCTATATAGCTTCATATGAAGATGAACAAAAAGTAAGACGAACACGAAACGAAATATAAATCAGTTGATACAGATATTGAAAGCGTTTGAGCATGAGGAGCAAAACCGTTATCATGTCCCGAATAAGCTGTTTTCCAAAAATCCCACTGGCTCCCAAGCAATTTATTCGAGCGCAGCTCATAAAATTTATATTGCCATTGAATCCATAGCAACAATTAGTTGCTTTGGCATTTTTTTCCCCTTTTGTGTGCATGACATAAATCTGTATTTTGAATCCAATTTCATTAGGAATTGTTTTCACGCTTATTTGGCATTATTTATCGAATTTAAAATAATGAATGAGCAAACGAACGAAACGCAGAGATAAAGTGAGAGATAGAGAGATGACGTAAGTTTGAATGGGAACAAGGTAGAATTCGACAAATCAAAATACGGCTTGTACGTAATCCTGTAATACCAGATATCATATTAAATGTAAGGATCTTCCTGCATATTCGCACTCGCATTCATTCACTTGCGTTGGTAGGTGAAAGTCGTTCTCGTTTGGTATTTGTTGGAGGTCAAAGCGATATATATGTGTATGTACATTTACATATATTGACTTTTGCCTAACATTAACGGTTCGTTGAAAGGTATGCGGTAAATCATATCAACTGATTTTTCCGCGAGATTAGATACCAGTTCAGGTAAATTCTTCGATCGTTTTCATCGTAATTGGATTCTTAGGCTCCGACTAACACACACTCACAACGATTTTGAATTCGATGGGCTAATGCAAATCGCACATTCAACGCATAATAAATTTTATAATCGTAAACAATCAACATTAAGTGATTTGCATGACGAAATACAAAACAAAAAAACACGAATTGTTTGAAAAATTGGGAAATTAGAGTGGTCGTTGCAACAATAGTTGGTCATATTAATGCTACTGAACAAGTAACCCTCTCACTTGTGTAGATTGATCGAATGCTAAATAAAATATGCGGACAATAAACTAATAATTTGGAAAGGCACTCGAGAAAATCAGCGCAAATATGTCGCATTCAAATGAAAAATTTCAATTGTACCCAGCAATTCGGTGGACATTTTGTGTTAGCACTCTGCTCTTACTTTCCGTTATTATGCGCTTCACTTCCAATCTCTTTTCTTTTTCATTCACTGAAATTATTATTATTATTTTGTTGAAATTTTTCGTATTGTATTTATTTGCTCCAGTTTCTTACGATGGTATGAGCATTTGACTCCCTTGCATTGAAAATCATTCACAGCGCCGCCAAACCCGCAGCCGACGACCCGGCACAGAGTGAGAGAGCGTGATGAAAAAAAAAATGAACGCAGGAGGAAAATCTGAGAATAAAGACAGATTATATAGCCGTATGCGAGTCATAAATTTAAAGTGGACACTTGAACCAAAGAACAATAAATATCGAACATATTACAAGTACCTGATGGAAAACAATTGTTCAAAATGCATTTTTATTATGCGTATGTGTTTGTGTGTGCGTTCAATATGATCGTGACGTTGAAAACGCCGATACGTTACACATATTTTGCTTCTTCTTCAATTCCTGCCATTACCGGGGGGTTTCCACCGGGGTTCTCTATTTTTTTCACCGTTAAAAATAACGAAATATAAGTGAAAAAAAAAACTGCACACGACATCAAATAAAAGCAAACCGTGCTTCTTATTTGCAAAAAGAGTTGGAGTGATGGTGAAACAGCGATAGAGACAGCGAGCGACAAAAATTAGGAAGCCAGCGATAGAGAGAGCGTGTGAGAGAATGAGAGCGAAACAGATTTGTAAGAATATAAAATGCTGGAAGAAGCCGAAGGGATGCCGGAACAAATCAAGTCACAATGAGAGCGCAAAAAAATGCGCCGGTAAACATACACACGTACGTACGGCATGCACACACACACACACGCACGAGAAGGGGAAAACAAAGGCTGGAAATATAAAATTCAGTTCGATAGCTCTTGAAGTGCCTTCGAATGTGCGGCCCTTTGTTTTTTTGACTTAAAATGTCATGCAAATTCAGAATTTTCTGTTGTTGTTGCTGTTGATTCCTGATCTCCATCATATGTCGAATCAAACACTAAATAATACGAAAAGAAAAACCTTTCAGCATTTCCAACCTCGGTCCGAGTTTACTGGGAAAAAAATCGCACAAACTAATCAATTGACATTGAAGAGAGAAAAAAACGACGAAAAAAAATCCACTGAAGAAAATTCGTCAAATATTAAACAAACCAAACAAAAAAAAAACTCGAAATCAAATGACTTGTTATGAATATTTGATTGCATGTTTTGTCAGTGAAGGAAAGAAACACAAATTGGATCCGGGAAATTCTAATATCTTGTGATGAAATTGTTGCATTGTTTATTAAAGATATTCACATTGATAGTTGATAAACACAATTGCATTTTTACAATTTCCAAAAGAAAAAAAGAGTAAAAAATTTGTATCTAACGCCAGTAGCCACCTCCACTGTTGTTGTTGCCGCCGCTGCCACCGCCACCGCCACGGTTACCTTGCTGATTTCGATTGAATCCACCGCCATTATTTCCACCTTGCCCATAATTATTGTTGGGCCGTTGTTGATACGGCTGGAATCGATTGTTGCGATTCTGTTGCTGGAAGTTTCCTTGCTGATTTTGCCGATGGTATGGTTGATTGTTACCCTGATTCGAGTAATTGTTGAAATTGTTCTGATAGCCTCCCTGGCGATTCTGTTGATAATTACTGTTGTTGCCGTGGCCCCTTTGTGGATTGTAACCACCACTGTCATCTAATGAAAGAAAGAAAAATAACATGAAAATGCTATAGATTTAGTGGACATGCTAGCTAAACGGTTTTCTTTTTCTTTTGCATCAATCTATTTATTTCGAAAAAAAAGAAAGTGAAAATATTACATTGTTAAAATGTCAATCTTGTGATTGCTTGCATTGAACGAATACGCCCTTCAAATGAGTTCATATTCTTCGTACAAAACACAAGAATGAGTTGCATTTTTAAATTGCCACTTTCTTTATCATTAACGGTTTGTAATTTGTTCGGAATTCATTCGCTCATTCAAGTTGAAATTCATGTTATCATTCGAAGAAAAAAAAATGCTTGCCTGATTACTTGGGAGAATGGAATGAGAGTGGGGAAAGGAGAGAGAGAAAGAGAGAGCAATAGAGCGAGATTTAAAGCGAAAAAGATGGCATGGAAATTCACTGGTAATTATGCATCTTGGATGTGCGATCGTAGACACGAAAAATCGGCATGTTGAATTAATGAAATGAGAAACATGTCGTCTACTCGTGCACTTGTATATACCATGCCAACTATGCACATTCTATATCTATCGTCAAGTCATGCATTTCATTGAGCGGGCGCACACAAACCGTAGCCATTGCCACCACCGTCGCTGCCACCACCGTCATCAGCACATCCGTGCAAATTTTAATGCTGTAAATCGTCATAATTCCACAACTTTGAAATCAAATACTAGAGCACGTACGAAATTTTCGTTTTGTAATAGCAATTATGAATATCCTCGGTCTTGTACTTTAAGCATAAGAAGACTGTGCTATACGCTGTGTTTTCCTCGATTCGAATGGGAATGATGAACGAAGAAGAAAAAAAAACACACACACACAGCCACCCACATATGCATACAACTCGATTTTTGCCACCTCCAACCCTGCAGCACTTGGAACATCATGGTTTCGAACTGGATTCGGGCATGATTTCAAATGAAAAGTACTAATTTTCGATTCCTATTAAATGTATTGCAAACACTTTTTGTCTACATCCGTTTCGCTCAGGAACACGGATGAATAAACTAGCACTACCTGACTACGATGGGTTTGACTACGATTTTCCAGTGTTGCTGCACGAAACATATGCAATCATGCACTAATTTGCGGTAAACTCTTAGTTTCTTCCTATGATTAGGAGCTAAGTAAAATACATGCATATATAGAAATTCATGCGAATGAATATCTGAGGAACGTGCACATTGAAAATTTTGATAGCAATTTCTTTGCTCTGTGCTTGTGTGTGTGTGTGTGTGTGTGTGTGTTCATTATTGTTGCTGTTGTTTTAATTACATTCAATATATTTCAACAAGATGGCATTGGATTAGTTTCGAGCGAATCATCTTCCCGACGGTAAGGCTAAAATAATTATCTCTCAGGCTATCATTTGCTTCAACTTGAGTTAGATAAGCGCTATTGTTGAGTTGGGTGGTAGTTTTTTTTGTTATGTTTCTATATTCTTTCCTTCTGGGAGAGAGATGAAGATAGAGAGACCATCGTTCAATTGTGTATCCTTGAGACCGAGTGTTTTAAACTGAGAAATGCACTTTTATAAAAATATCACAACAATGCCAATAATTCAATCATAGATAATAATGATAAATTATATCGGTACTCATTTGGAAATCATTGGCATCAAATCACATGACCCTATCTCTGTGCGGGTGAGTTGTTTTGTGGGCGCGCGCACGAGATCTTTTTAACGGCATACGCAAAAACAGGCGAAATGAAAAACAAAAATCAATTACAGATTTTTCTTCCTCTGTGACCGACAAATAATCCGACTTGGTGATGACAAGAACCATCATATACAGAGTGCGTGAGTGTTATGAGAGATATAGAGCGAAATCGGAAATTAGGCTCTTTCAGTAGGATGTTCGGATATTTTCCATTACCGAATGCCACCAAACGAAAACGGAAAACAATAAACTTATCATTTAAGGGTGCGAAAATGTCATACACCAAATTATGAAATGTGAACTAAAGAATATTTACCCAAACATAAATACACAAATACACAGACGCAAAACGAGAGAGAGAGAGAGCATATTCGGTATATATTTGATTTGGAGGCACGCGACACTTTTCATACCGAACAATAAGCTGTAAATCATTTTGTGCATCGTTCGTTGTGTGTATGACGCGTATAATTAGGGCACAATAGCATATCAAATTAAATCATAACAAGGCCTGGACAGTGTTCAAAACATTGCCGCTATTTATTTTTCTGTTTGCTCCCGTCCTTAGCTAGCGCATTGGCTCTGTTTTTTTTTGTGTGTGCCTCGATTAACCATGAAAATTGGCATATCTGGCGGTGTATGTGTGTGTAAATTGTACACAGTTCACGAGATCACATTAGGTTCATTGAATGTCTACCGTCGCTGTATGCGACGAGCATTTTATTATCGATAAACATATAATTACAAATACAATAAAAACAAGATGTAAAAAACCACATAAACACGCACACACTTTTCCTACAGCCTTGAGGAAAATGAAATTAGCAAATCATTTTGCCGCGGTTTGATCGATGAATGTGAAAAATAACAATATAATCTTGCATAAGTACATTCAACTTTGAATCAGATAAAATCGAATGAAAACAAAAGTGAACTGAAAATGCTACTCACTGTGTCTATTGTAGCTGTTTGGTGGCGCAATCGTGGCAAAGTTTCTGTTGTCATTGTTGTGCTGTTGCTGTTGTTTGTAGCCACCTGAATAGTGATTGACCATACGATGGCCAGCATCACCGAGTGATGCTTGTGGAAAGTTACGATTGAAACCAATTTGTGGACGATAATTTGATGGTCTACTCTCTGGTGCGAGTACATTCGGCGGATCAATCGCACCTGGTAGTTTTTTTGCTTCAAAGATGAATCCGTCGGCATACTTTGGATCACGGAAACATATCGTTACAACTTTATTGTTGTAAACATCGTCAAGGCCATAAATAGGCGACTCCAATGTACTGCTTATTTTTTGAAATTTGAAAACGAAAATTGATTAATAACTTGGATTTGAAGTAAGTACGAAATTAACATTCATCCAAAATGAGAATTGATTTGCAAGGAAAATTGACTTTTTTTCGTTAAGTTAAATGAATTTGATTCTGAAATCAAAACCAATCAATCAATAGTAAATCGTTGTTGCGCATTATACTCACTCTTCTATCGACACATTCTCCTCAGATAGCAAAACCATTCCCTGCACGCCATCAATACAAATGGTCGTCTCTTTTTTCGGATCAGTTTTCTTTTTATACAATGTAGTTATTTGTGAATATCCCTTGTTGGCTGGACCCACATACAATCGGTCTTCACCTCTCTGATTACGTTTCACTGGAATTGAAAACAAAAATGAAAGCATAGACATTAATATTTGACGATTCAGAAACAAACAAACAAAATAAAAACATTATCCATTGCCATCCATTACCTTCTTCAGGAGTCAGTAGTTTATAATACGGTTCAAGCGCTTTGATTAATCTTTTTTCGTCGACAAAAGGCAGTAAAGCAACACCTTGCCATGCAAATTTCTTGCCATTCAAATCAATCTTAAAGTCTTCTGGATAAAAGTCGATGATTGTTGATTCGGGATCTGACATTAGTGTAGCCCATGGCCTTGGCACATGAACGCTGCTCGCTGCTGGAAAAACGCCCATCAATTGCTCCAGCGGATTGAATGGTTTTGTATTTTTCTCAAATTGTGTGGATAAGCCGGCAATGTGTATGAAATCAGAAGCGAATGGAGCGTAATGATACGGGAAATACCAATTCCACGATGCACAGCCTTGATAATAATACTTGAGCACCCAACACAAACCGCGGACGTATTGCAATGCGACGGAATAACGGAACTGCAAGTTATCTGGTCCCACATCGAATTTCGATTCATAGTATCGATCTTTGAAGCCCGCTTCCCACAAGCGTACCTCATCATTTGCGTCAGGATCTTCCTCCTCGGCCTCTTCTGCTTCCAATTTGGTGGTTTCGTCGGCACCCTCATTATCCTCAGCATCGTCATGCTTTCGTTTTCGACTGCCCGATGGTTTTGCCGCCTGTGAAGCGCTGCCATCATTTGGCTCCAGAAACTTTTCCAATTCGGATTTTTGATCGTTTTGCAAATCTTGTCGACGAATGTTTGCGATTTCATTTCGAATATTCGAAATTGATTGCGGTTTGATGCCTTTGCCCAATTGTGTCGGTGCAAATTGCGAATTGTGCATGTTTTGAAAGTTTGGTGTGTCTGGTTTTCGTTTCTTATTGGCTTTGTTACGTTCACGGAATTGAATCTCACGCTTTTGTCGTTGTGTAAAAATGTCGTCTTCAACCATTCCAAGGTCACGTAAAATCATTTGAACACGCTCCAAATTGACTTCGCCTGAATTCGTCAAATAGCCACTGGTTTTGTATACACAATTCTTGTATAAGTTGATTAAACGATCAATGGCTCCTTCTCGAATTTCCAAACTCGGTAAATGTGGCAGAAAATCGTTACCAACAAAGAAACATAAGAACACCCAATCGTCAAGCACACGCTCAAAATCATATTGAAACGGTAAATTCGGCATTTGCAATGTTCTCCTCAAATACTCTTTGAGCACCGACAAACGAACAAAAATGAATTTCACCTCGGATGCGGCTGCTGCTGCCGTTTCATTCATTGTGGCCGGCATCAAACCTTCACAGCTGCTCATCTCATGGCTGGTCGAACCACACACTTCGCATGGCCTTGGTTTGTTGGGCAAAAACTCTTCACGAATAATCGTAAAGTTTGGTTCATGTGTAGCTAATCCAAGCATAATCAAATCAGCATCAGCACCACACAGCACATGTTGTGTGTTTGGATCGTGATTTGGTTGACCACGTTGTCGTCGAATGAAATCCATAATCTTGTGTTCACCTTCGCCCGGCACACTAGCATCGGACAAAAACACTTTCAATCCTTTCCAGGCCGGATTATTATTCAAACGATCGTGAACGTAGTAGTGTAGGCACTTGCTCAATCGATCCATGAACGGAGTACCAGGAGTAATACAATTCGAATCAAAGTGTTCACCCTTTGGCTTCTCTGGTGGCACAATGGCACCTACCGAAAGTAATTTCTCTTTTATCCGTGAAACTTCCAATTGTTTTTCTGCTGTTTCTTTTGAAGCTCGAAAACGACGAGATCTAGATCAAAGGTGCATTTTTTCATTAATCACAAAACAAATAGTCGATATCAAACCAATTACTCACCTTTGTTGATTCATTTTAGCACGTGGTGCAACTCCGTCAATGGCCATGTACAAAACTTTGCGTGGTCGAACAATGTTGAATAGTCGATCGATGCACTCGAAGATGGCCACCATCATTTCGTCTTCATTTTTCGGTGCCGGTTTGTCTTCAGGATGTGTACACGGATGAATGATACCGTTCATGTCAAGATAAAGATTATCAAATTCGATTCCATTAGGATTTGGCAGTGATGCATCTTCCGGAACCCATTTTCCATCAGGTCCTTCAATCTGTAGCAAAAAAATTGGAATTATTTGGGTTTTGGAAACATCGTTAACAGCATTAACATCATATTTAAATGTGTTTGTGAGTGAACGAAACAATAAAATCATGCACAAAAGGTGAGGTAAACAAATGATGCTTTGATAAGTAAATAACATTTACAATCAACACACACACACGCACTCTGAGGTTATGTTTATCATTGACGTAGGGAATATATTACAAATTGAAATCAAATTTATACCTTATTTTCAACACATTCGATAATAACGCTTGGATATTTTCTACTTAACCAGCGAAAAAATGCTGGAACTCCCATCGCGATTTGTCGAGTTGTACAAATTTAGTTCAAAATATAAAAATTGCTACAAATCGACGAGATGTTCCAAAATGCACAAGTTTGAAGCTTCACTTTAATTTTGTGTATTGGCATATGATTTCTCAAGTAATCACACGTGAAGTGTCATTCACAATGCAAGTGAAATTTTCCAATGCTCACTTCGAAAGTGGTGTCCCTATCGGTAAACAGAAAAACTGTCAAAACAATAGAGTTGTACGATAATAATAACAACTGTATGTACTGTTCGGAAACGAAATTAGCGTGCAGTTTGGGACAAGTGAAAAGAAAAATCAAATTGTTTTAAAATTGATGGTCATCTGGTTCATTCGCACAAAAGCAAATGGGTAAATATTCCAATAATAAAAAAACAATTAATCGAAACGAAAAATGCATAGCGTTTGCCCGAATTTCATTTTATCTGTGCAAAGAAAATGTCTTAAAAATGCCCGTGTTGCTGCTGCTACAGTTGTTTGTTCGCATGTAATAGTGTGTATGACAATTTCTTGTGTGTGGACATGCATATATGTGCCCCGTTTTTAATCAATCAGAATGTCTACTTTACATACGTATGAGAATTGAAAACAGAGAGTAAATTACTTGGTGGCATCAGTTTCGATTCAATCAATCTGTTTTTTTTAAGTATTTTATTTCGGAAATTTACTTTATGTAGTATAAGATAAGTGTGTTGTTTGAGCATTGCATAGAAACATTGCAAACGGTTGATATCATTTTTTGCCATATTTCGACATTTGACAGTCGAAGACAGAGAAAGAAGACCACCAATCGCTTACAAATGAGAATAATATACAGAAAGTGCTACTTCTGACTTGTTTTGCATTTGTTGTTTTTTATTTCGTTTGGATTCGTTTCTCGCTATCTCGCACTCGCTCACTTTCCGATAGCCAATGAAAATACACAAACACTGAAATCTTATATATTCGCACGTCAAAAACGAAATTACCTCGAAATGGGCAAATAACAGATATAGGTAAATTCAATTATATTATATTTTAGATTTTTTTCGCGTTTTATTGCGTACCAATTTCATTCGATATCCACATTGAAGTGTTATTGAATTTTGATGGAAATCACAATTCGTATTTTGTGCCTCGATTCGGCGGTGTGCTTGTGTGGTGTTTCGTGTGATACGCATTGTTTGAAAAATACCAGGCACTTCGTGCACTAATTTATTCGATGTTGTACAAGTCGTTGAGAGTTCAAAGATGCGTCTTTGAATTGCGGACATATCGAAGTGACACACGATTTGTGTACCGCAACTAACATCAAAACTGAAATTACTGGAAACGAAATTACGGTTTCACTGTGTTACTTACGTTGTGTTTTCAGTATTTTTTAAGAAAAAGAAAAGGAACAAGTAGAAATGTTGGTGTTGTAACCTTGTCATCGTATACGTGGCTTCATACAATAACAAGCACACAATTTTCTTTTGCTAGGACTGATATGATCACCAAAGCGACGGATTTTTAGTGACAACTTTGATTAACCCAGTGGATTACCGGCAAACAATAGCCCCCGTTTTGCAGAGTAGTCCCCCTTGAGATGTTCACCAGGACAGCTGTATAGGGATTTTCAATTGTAACTCATACCAAATTGTCGACCGAAAATTTAAAACACACACAAAAGCATAACACATCACAGATTGGACCGAATTGATCGGGTTTCGATGCATTTGGGTAAGAGATCGTCATTTATTCATGAGTATCCAATAGTTTTTTTTATTGATTTTAATTAGTGATTTGTTCCTTTTTCTCTTCTTTGTCTTCGACCAAACTAGACCAAGCCAAAATTCAGATGGTTTGCGCAATATGATAACTGTAAATGCCGTCAAATTGTTGAATGTATGTCACACAATCTATATTTTCGAGAAAAAAAATTCGCCGACATAATCATAATAATTTTGAAAAAAAATTCAATTTTTTCCAATGCTTAGTAAAAAAAAAACTCCATAACGCATCACCGCATCACATAAGCAGAGGGAAAGGCAGAACAAACGAAAAATCGAAGTGGTAACAATCATTTTTTCGATCAGAAGAAGGACAGAGGAAAATGTCAAGGATTGATCCAAGCACAGTTTTACCGGTCTTAGATGAGGTTTCGCATACAACATTAGTGCATTTTTTAATTGGAGCGCTTATCATCTACATAGCGTGGCGTTCGACATTTGTGCGGCATGAGGCTCGTAACATACCATATAGACAGCGAACGGTTTTTATTTTTAATCCACAAACGGGCGACTTTCAACAGCATTCCCTCGGGCTATTGCTAAACAATTTGAACAACAATTTTGCACAAACAACACCAACATTCGAATCGATATTGGATGAAATGAACGGTATCACCTATCAATCGCCACCACAAACCGATGAGAACATTGACGATTCCGTGATTGAAGAAGAAACACAAGAAATTATCCGAGAAATGGACAGAGAACCAAACAGCTTATTTGAAAATACCAGCGGATTGCGCAATCGACGAACGAATACGGGGTACTTGATTTCAAATGATTTTGTTTTGACATTTTGCGTTTCGTCGACGTGTCCTCTGTCCCTGATTAATATAAACGAAATTTGATTGTCTTATTCGCTACAGAAACAACAACAACACTAGCAATACTAATAATAATGTCGATCAGAGGAGCCCATCACCAGACACAGATACAGTGTTAAGCTCCTTAGCCAGTAGTAGCAGTAGCAGTAGTTCAACATCCAGTGGTACAACAAGTACGCCAACTACAGTGGAAGAAATGGCAGAATCGACATCGGTTGCGGTAGATGCAGAGAATACGAGCAGTGCATCAAACGAAGCCACTTATTCCAGCAGCGATGAAATCACTATCAAACTTAAATATTTAAACGACGATTTGAAAATCGTCAAGGCCAGAACTGGCGAACCAATCGGAGATTTCAAAAAGTACGCTCTAACATTCCATTCTTCTTCTAATTTTCTCATTCACACCTTTCGCTATCTTCTGTTTATTCTTTGATTTCAATGCGATTATTCATTTTGTCTAATTTCTGTGTTTCTTTGTTTTCAATACAGACGAAATTTCAATGAAGAATTGAACGCTCAAAAGCTGGTTCGTTTGGTATTCAATGGTCACGTCCTACAACCAGATGCAAAAACAATTGCTGCATGCGGCTTATTTGATAATTGCGTTGTGCACTGTTTAATTCATAATCCTCGACCAAACGTTGTCACCGAGCCCAATCCATTAGCAAATAATCAGCCAATACCACTAGTAAATGAGGGTATGCACGCAATCGATACACTATCACCGATTATTTAGATACACTTAAAAAAAATTATTTTTAAATTAATGTACTGAACTGTGGTTAACTTGTTTTTTGATCTCTCTTTACAATTGATCTAGGCGCGGCTGAACAAATGGGAATTAACAATCTAATGAATTCGAATCAAAATCGCAATCGAAATACACAACGCTTGCTGAATCTGAGTTTGTTTTTGATATGTCTGTCAGTGATAATATCATGGTTTTTCAGGTAAAATAAAAATTCCCGCTCGTCATGTTATCATTATTCTTATAAGAATTTCCACATTTGCTTCTCTTCACTTATTATTGCATTTGGTTTACTTACAGGATTCAATATTTTCAACTATTTTCATGGTATTCAACCGTTGGACTAGTTCTACTTACAACATTTTTCCTCGTCATAATCCCCTTGATATTTTTGATTGAACGCGAAATATTTAGAAATTTATAAGTATTAATGGTGAGGAAAGAATATGGAGAAGAAGAAGCAAGAAAAAGAACTTTGTGAGAGATAGAGATGAAATTGAAAAAAGAAAAGTGGGAAAACTGTGTAAATATGACGAATGGAACCAATTAAAATCAAGAGATTTTCAAACACATGCGATTTAAAAAAAAAACATTAAATAAACGTTTAATTACTATTGATGATACTTTCTCACGCAAAACATATATGCAACACACATTACATTACAGAAAAAAACGTGTATGAAAGAAAATTGTATATTTTTATTTATTTTGAAGAATTTCAAGCGATTTAATAAAATTACTAAAATGTTAAAATTATTTTCAATTTCAAATGTTCATTTTTCTTCAGTTCTTTCGATTTCTGGCCATTTCGAGAATGAGACTGACCTGCCGTTTATTCTCTCGATTTTTTCCGTAAATTGGATAGAGAAAAAAATTGAGCAAACGGAATAAATTTAAAAAATCGAAGTAAATATAGAAAATGTAGCCTGGAAAAGAAATGACGTAAACCCAAATAAAATAACTCTGTCCAACGCATTTTTCAGATTGAAACTTCATTTGAAAGTTGGTGAAAGCCCATATATTGACTTATAAATTGCCTAATAGACAAGAGTACTTGAGAGAAATTACCAAAACAACGATAACGTAATAAAAGAAATGAAAAAAAAAACTCGTTAAGATTCGATAACCATTTGATTAGTTGTGATAAGTTTTATTTGCTTATTTATTAACAGTTAACATAGGAAATGTTTAGATTATTCATTTAAATTATTGCCAAGCAAGAAGCCATTTGATGAAAACTAATAGCGATATGAGAATTGAGCCCGATAGATATGATGACGGAAACAACGATGTCTTATCGATCGGCCAATTGTTTAATTAACCAATTGTTTTAGTTGTTTTAGTACCGTTTCCCATAATTTTTTCTTGTCACGTTCAGATTTTTTCAGCACGGAAAAAACATTCTTCTTATCCGCTTCGCGTATCTTCTCCAAGACAACGATAATGGCTTTTGGTTGTACTAAATTGTAACGATTATCTGGTTTGCCATAGTCGCTTAAGTAAATACTCCACTCTTCTGAGATTAGAAGATCTAATAGTTGACGTAGTTCTGCAAAATAGGCGGACGCTTCATCGACTTTGAGTCCAGGCACCGGATCTGTTCCCGCAAATACTTCGCATTGCATCTGTTGAAGACAGAGAAAAAATATTTTGTTAAAAAATAATAAATCACGACTCATCATTGTGTGAAAGAAAAGTCTTACCAAATCAAGGCTAATTTGTTGCAGAGCACCGGTTGATATCTGGCGCACGTCATCGCTCAGCAGCAGTTTGTAGAATGAGTTTGCGATGTGTTCACAGGCTTTCTTACACGTGACTTGTGCCACATTTGGCAATAGATACGAGAAACTTTGGAAGGTGCTTTGCAAAAAGGCGATCATATCGGTGATGAATGGTGATGCATGACCCTTTGGATCGGGCAAAAGCCAGTCGTAATTTTCGAGCTCTTCAAAGAATTCATCCAATTTTGAACACAATTTGGCGGACACTTGCATCTCTGCTTCGGCTCGTGCCACTTGAAACATGGCCGATGGTGCTTGTTTGATCTCCTGTTGCGTTCCCGTCATTTTGCACACAAAATCATCTAAAAATGGGCCGGCTTTCTCCAAGTACTGTGTATCGATGATAATTTGTACGACTTGCATCAGCGCTAGACTAGGATTTCGGAAAATGGCCGATAGACAACCGCTGAAACTGCGTGTCAACAGCAGATTTGCAGCTTTCCGTACCATTGCCGCTATTTCATTCGGTGACAGGGTTAATTCTTCCGAAAATTTCATGCATGCATACATAAATTCCTTGGCTTGATGGTAGACCTCGGGCACCATTGTTGAAAATGGGAATTTCTTTGGGAATGGCTGTACCTCCAATTGCTCCGAATGGAATGGGAAACGTTCTAAAACTGCATCGTACTGCTCTTGATCATGAACTTGAAGTGGCAAATAGTCGCATTTGTTGAGAATTTCACGGAATTCGTTGACCCATCGCTGCAGCAAGACCTCATTATAATGATCTCTCATTTCCAGTAGCAAGTCCCATAATTGTGACACCGTATAGCCGTATGTTTTCAGTGTTGTAATGCAAAGCATAATCAAATTTTTGATACGTAGCAAAATATTTGGGTCAGTACACGATGATGAGCTCATGCTAAGAACGTTCACAGCACGCGATAATGATGACGACCACAAATCGTCTAAATACGAACGATTCACAACGTCGCCAGCTGTGTTCATTACATGATCTTCGACGATAAAGAAACCAACAATTGAGTATATATAGTTTTTGTACGCCTCCAAATTGTCGTGCATCGCTTGCGGTGCCTGAAGAACTAATTTTGCTTGATCACGTCGTTGTTTGCGGTAATCCTTTTCAAAGTACTCCTTGTCATTGAGCACGGTGTAAATGTGAAGGCATCGATAAATGGGTGAAAAATCGATTAAATCTTGTGCAGACAAATCGTCCTCGTCGACGGAATAGTCGTCGTTCGAGCTCATCGTCGTTTTGTACTCACTGATAATTGAGGTCAAATCGCGTTTTTGATGCTTTTTCGTGTGTCGCATCGCAACTTCACCGATTTTCGGCGAAAATTTTCGGATATTCTCTAAAAACTCACGGAAATCCTCTTCGGACGATTGTTTGATTTGCTCTTTGAGCTTTGGAACGGCACTTTTCATCTGCGATGCAAAGCGATACTTATCCATTTTGGGCAAGTGTTCACTTTCGAGAATCTCTAGTGTTTTTAGTGCTGGATAATATCGTTTCTCTTCCACTTGCTTCAACAATTTTGTGAAACACTCAAGCACCGGCAAACAACTGCTCAGCGCATCAATTGTGTTTGCAATGTTGCTTTCGATTTTCCGTGCTCGCACCAAATCTTTTCCTTTGGCCAAAACACCTGTTGATGCTTTGCCCAATGTATCGTCCAATTGCATCACTTCCTCATTCAAGTTGTTGGCCTGTGTTCGTACATGCAACAGCTCTCGTATCGAATCAATAAATCCCTGATAGTAGAGATTGCAAATCCGTTCGATGTCCTTATCATGCGACCGAATTCGGGCCTCAATTTGATCCGAGAGTATATCATTTGAGTCACTTTCAAGAATTGAACGAAATGTCGGCCCCCAATTATCGTCCACCGCTTCGATGTCCTGTATCGATGGTATATTCGCCATATCGCAATGTCAACCACTTATTTTCTAAGCACTAAACCCGAATTTGTACAAAGATCAACAAGAAAACTTTTGCTTCCTGTTTAATAAACATAGAAAATAACACCTCCTAATTGTAAATGTCAAAATACAAACGAACCCTATCGGAAGCATTGACATCAAATCCGCTGGTTGGCCGTATGTAAATAAACATAACCTTAAAATTAAATTAACTTTTCAATAACAAACAACATTTGTTTTTAGTTGATTGCATGCTGAATACCTTTTACCTTACTGTTTGAAATTGGATTTGTGGCAGAAAAATGTCGGCCGACATCAGGCAACTGAAAGAAGCTGCTCGCGATGAAAGTCTCGACGCGAAAATGAAAAATATCCTCGCCGATATTGCAGCCATCGACGAAAAGGCAAAACGATTAGCCAAACAACGTGAAAAACTCATGATGAGCTATGAAGCACTCAAAGATTCCAAACTCATTCGAGATGCAAAGACTGTCATTTTGGACAAAGAATGGGAACGAGGTGAGTGATTTTCAATTCAGCAGCATATAAATCGATTGATACAGTTTAGTGTTACTTTATTCCTGCAGAAAATTTTGAATGGTCATATCGGTTGAGAGAAACCATGACGAATGTGTTCAAATTAAAGGACTTCCGACCGCAACAATTGCAAACGATCAACTGCATTTTGGCAAAGAAAGACGTCGTCATGATTGCACCAACGGGCGGCGGAAAGAGTTTGTGCTATCAATTGCCTGCAATGCTAGCCGATGGTTTGACCATTGTTATTTCACCGCTGATTTCACTGATGGAAGATCAAGTGTGGTCACTGCAAAAGTATGCTATAAATGCTGAACTCCTGTGTTCTACAACCGATAAAAATAAAAACAATACAATTCTAAAGCAAATGGCAGATGGAAAAAACACATGTAAGCATAGAGACTATGTTATGGGCGATGTTTGGCTCTTGAAGAAATTTGAATTCAATGCCTGTGATTTTTAGGTCCATTCAAAATACTCTACGTAACACCTGAACGTCTGGCCAAAAGTAAACGATTTATGAACGCGCTGCAGAAATGCTATGAGGCAAAACGGCTACATTTGATTGCCATCGATGAAGGTATTTAGAAATTTTGTGTTCAATGTTTCATTTTCAACAATCCCATCAATTTTGAAAGACTAATCAAAATCCATTCACGGTTTCAGTGCATTGCATCAGCCAGTTTGGAAATGATTTTCGTCCGGATTATAAATTTTTAGGTGCATTAAAGACAATGTTCCCCGATATACCATTTCTTGGTGTAACGGCAACGGCCACGACCAAAGTCATTCTTGACATACAGAAAATGTTGAATTTGCAACAGCCAGTCGTGTTGAAAGCGGAATTCAATCGACCCAATCTATATTATCACGTATGTTTGTGCACATTTTGCCGTGACATTTAACTATTTCTTCTGAAGAATTTCCTCTCAAACATTCATTATTTAAGAAAAAATAACAATTTTCCCCATTTTAGGTGATGGATAAACCAGACGAAAAGAAGCAATGTATTGAGCTGTTAGTTGATCTTCTGACCAACCGATATGCTGGTAAATCGGGCATAATTTATGCGTTTTCAATTGCCGACACCGAAGAAATCGCTTCCGAATTAATACAAAGAAATCTAAAAGTTCGACCGTATCATGCTCAGCTCACGAATGAACGTCGCACAATAGTGCATCAAAAATGGCTGTCGGGGGAGATCCAGTGCGTAATTGCAACGGTTGCATTTGGAATGTGAGTTGTTGTTGTTTTTCTCTCGTCCAAATCTAGTTTCTTTTATCACTTCAAAAATTCTAAAATTAACATTATCCACGGTTTGATAAAATGTCGATTATTTTCAGGGGCATTGACAAGCCAAATGTCCGTTTTGTTATTCATCACACAATGAGCAAAAGCATGGAAAATTACTATCAAGAAAGTGGACGAGCTGGCCGAGATGGGAAGAGAGCCGAATGCATACTGATGTACCGAAGTGCAGATATCGCGAGAATTACAACAATGGTATTCACCGAACACACCGGCCTAAGCAATGCCTATCAAATGATCCAATTCTGTATCGATGGCATCAGCTGTAGACGTGATCTCATCAGTAGACATTTTATGGATGTGTGGAGTAGTTCGGCTGTATGCAACCGAATGTGTGACCGATGCAATCACCAAAATAGCATAAAGCCACTGAAAATGAACATCACCGAACACTGTCTAGCCCTGTACAAAATCATTGATTATGCCACAAGCATGGATGTCAAACTGACCCATTTGAAATTGGTCGACTCATGGTATCAAAAAGGTAAAACCAATCTTCGATGTAAAGATATTCCGGTGCCAAGCTTCGAACGAATAACTGCCGAACAAATGGTCGCCAATTTGCTCATCAAAGGCTATTTGAAAGAGGACTTCCATTTTACTGCTTACACAACGTACAGTTACATCAAAAAAGGTGACAAAATCGCCGATGGACACGATCGAATAATTTTCTATGGTGCACGCGTTCTGCTGTTGCCAGAACGTGGTCAATTTCCAAAGAAAGAGAAAGAAATTAAGAAGGAGAATGGCGAAGAAAGCGTTTCTGTGACGGATTCAGATGCTCCACCAGCAAAAAAAGTGAAGAAAGAAAAGAAATCAAAAAGCAATGCCAACAGCAGTAGCAGTCACAGTGAACCTGAATTAAATGTTTCGATGAACAACTCAAAGGACGAATCAAGCCCAAAAAAGAAGAAGAAAAGCAAACATGAAAAGAAACGACGATCCAGATCGGATTCATCAGAAAAGGGCGATGACTGTGTCATTCTCGTCGAAGGCAGCGATGTCATCGAAATTGACTAAATTAGAAATGTAGCCCATAGATAATAAGAGAATAAGCCCATAGATAATAAGATATTGAAGAATCTATGGCTTGAACAAATGTCCAAATAAATTTATATGAATGTCAGTACTCACTGCTGCGCCTAATTTATTTACAGTTTCACAAAGAAACAGTGTTTTTTTTTACTTCTACGCTAGATTTATTATGATAGAAAAGAGAAGTAAACAAAAAATCTTAAGTATTTCTTCTTCAACGGAATTTTTCAAGTCGAGCGGTTCCATGCGGCCGTTTCCATTTATTTCTTTGTGGACGGACTCGTCGATGGGTTTGAACTGGCACGAATTTATGAGGCAGATGCATTGCCCTGGCTATAAATGAGCTTTTGGATTGTATTCCTAAAAATGAAAAAAGGACGTCCCTTTAAGTACCTCGCGAAATAGCATGTAATTATAAAGCCGAAAATAGGGAAAAAAATTATTACCTCGATGATGTTCACAGCGGCATTTGCGATTCGAATGTTCGATCAAATGCAAAGATTTTTGCTATTGTGTGCTTGTCCTGACTTGTCACGCTTGCAATCACAACGAATATCTTTCGGATAAATTTGCAATGCTTTTTAGTGAATTCGATAATCACTTCATCGGTATTTGGAATTTGTGTTGTTGATTCGTCGACCAAACTATTTTTGTACGGGGATTCCATTTCAAACTCAGCAGCACCGTCATTTTTATACAGCTCCTTCTTCACATTTAAACTTTTTCTAGCAGATTCCAATCGTTTGATACCATTGTTCAACACGGTCAACACCTTGTCCAAATCTTCTTTATTCAGACGTATTATTTTTGCCCTGAAAAAGTACAGATTAATATTCTGGGAGAATTAAATGCTGATATAAGTATTTTAAATGACTTACGCAATGAATGCACAAAGAGTGTGGATTGACGAAACGGCATTTTGAAACGAATTTATTATTGGCGCCGTCGGTGACGGTTTTTTTACTCTTTTTCCCTTTGATGTATCCGATTCTTCGGAGTCCGATTCAAATGATCGTTTTTCTGCAGACATTTCAATAAAAAAATTTCAACAAATTGGGAGTTTTTGGTTTATAGTGATGATTGGCTTGGTTTGAGCGTTTCGAAGCACCTGCTTCAAATATTGACGGCTGTATAGTGAAGAAGAAAAAACGTAGAGATACTTCTCCAAACCGTCAAATGAAGTTGAATAATTGAAATGGGTCTGGTAAACAAAGGAAAGTGTTGCCCAATAATATCGTTTGATGCATCTGGTCAGACTGTTTTGTGTGACACTTGGTGCAGTCAAATGAAGCAGATGTAAACTATTTGATTTTAATTGTGTTTTCAATTTATTGTTTACACTAACTGACTGAGTAGGAAAAACGCTTAATTGGATTCGATGAAGAAAAGACAAAGAAGCGAAAAATCATTTAAAGATGCGTCTCAAAAAGCCGATAGTCTATATTTTGACAGTTTTTTCATTATGTTTAATCCTAATGTACATAAAAAATAGACATGTAGAAATAGATTCGGAGACAACAAAGAAAAATGCAGTTCAAACAACTGTATCGAATTCGTAAGTGTAATTAAGAGAGGATTTCACAATAAATTTTTCGGCTTTGTAAATCAATGTAATTTCATGGATAATTTCAGAAACAATACCGTGCCAAATTCCGCTGAAATCGTAATTGTGGTTGTATCATGTGGAATGCGACAACAAGAAACACTCAATCTGTTGAAATCGGCGATAATATTCGGATTTGAACATCGGCTAAAATTCGTTCTAATGACTGAAGATAATTTGATGGCTGGCTTCCGTGAAAAACTTGAAGACTGGTCCAGCATTGCGAAAACTAAATTTACATTTGAAGTGCTTCCATTGATTTTCCCGAAAGGAAATGAAGCCGAATGGCGGACTCTGTTCAAACCATGTGCAGCTCAACGGCTTTTCTTACCTGTAACTAACTGATTTTACTTTCCAATCGAAACCCATTATCATTCCAACAATCGTTTTATAATCATTTTCGGTTCTAATTTCATTTTTAAGGCCATTTTAACCGACGTGGACTCGGTGTTGTATCTAGACACAGACACATTGTTCGTGTCACCCGTTGGCGATGTGTGGAAGTATTTCCGTGATTTTAATGCAACACAAATAGCAGCTTTGTCACCGGAGCATGAGGATGCAAACGTTGGCTGGTACAATCGTTTCTCAAGGCATCCATACTACGGAAAATTGGGCGTTAACTCCGGTGTAATGCTCATGAATCTCACACGAATGCGTGAATTCAAATGGAATTTGTACATGTTGCCATTGTATAAAGAGTACAAATTGAAAATCACCTGGGGTGATCAAGATCTGATAAATATTCTATTCGCATACTATCCAGATAAATTGTATGTCTTCCCGTGCCAGTTCAACTATCGGCCGGATCACTGTATGTACATGAGTGTTTGTGATGCACCAAATGGCATTCAAATCCTACATGGCAATCGTGGCTATTTCCATTCCGAGAAACAACCCGTTTTCAGTACAATATATCGATTGATCGAAGAATATCAATTGGGAACCGATGTCTATCGAAATCTTGTGGCTCCGCTTGAATCGGCATTGTCCAGTGAAGATATACAGCACACAACTTGCGGCAAAATTTCCGACAAATTCCTGAAAATGTTCAAGCAAACATTTAAAGAAAATATATTTTACTATGATTCCAGTTGACCAATGTGTGTGACACATTCCAAAAATGACCACCGACACGGTGTCTTTTTTTATACATGTAACCGTTTTTACTATTTGTAATTTATTATCTCCATTTCATTGGGATTGATATAAAACAAAAAATTAACTTTATAAAATGTTTCAAACATTAGAATTAAGGTAAAAGGAATGTCCTTTAAAAAAAAAAAGAAAAATAATAATCAAAAGTATCTTGATTAAGGAAGGATATTTTTAACTGAAAACCCCTTTTGAACACCGTTTGTATATAAGTGTCAGCATAGACTTCAAAATGTGTGGTTAGGTTTATACGTTTTCATATCATAGGTATTTATAATTTAGTTATTATACAACTGTACTTCAGTATTGATTGAAATGTTGTATTGTTCAAAGGACAACTGACTATCAATAAAAAAAAACCATCCCACCTATCAAGAAAAACACGACATTCCGGTGAATAGTTTTTTCTTGGACAATTCAGAAAAAAATTATAGTTTATTCGATTAATACTCGTAAACCGTAGAGAAACTATTCAAAATGAAGTATTTTATCAAAAATTTAACCGATGCCATGTTCAAAAAGTACTTATTGACAACGAACATTGTGTCGTCGGGCATTCTCATGTCAATCGGTGATGCCGTATCACAGTATGTCGAACGAAAAACGTTAGTTAAACATGAAGAGCATCAGAAATTTCAGTTTAATTGGTCACGAAATGGAACAATGTTTGTTGTCGGCGCTCTTCAAGGCCCAATGCACCACTATTTCTACGGTTGGTTAGATGGGAAATTCAGTGGAGCAACACTTAAACACTCAACTATCAAAATTTTATTTGATCAATTTGTCATGTCACCAGCATGTATTGTGATGTTTTTCTATTCGGCCGGCTGGATGTACAAACAAACCACCGATGAATGTAATCAAGAACTGAAAAGCAAATTTGTCACCGTCTATATTGCTGATTGGATGGTATGGCCATTCGCACAATTCATCAACTTTTACTACCTACATCCCAAGTATCGAGTCATTTATGTCAATTTTGTCACAATGATGTACAATGTTTTCTTATCCTATGTTAAACACACCGATGTCGAATCTCTAAAATACTTCAAACATTGACAGCTGCAGGAAGACAAAACCAAAAAGTCATGTGATACACAAATAAACCAAACATGTCATTCTTGTGATTATTTTATTTATTTGTGATATATCAAAGAGGATCAAAATAAAATCAAGTTATCTGAATTATTCGCATTTGGTTTTCATTTTTCGCGTTTCTATCAATGTTTAGGTTGATCTGTGTCAATTCGTTTTGCGTAGCTGATTCTTAAATGCCATTTTTTTTTCGTTTTCTCTCTTTATTCTTAGGACTACTGTGTTTATATGTTTTTGCAATGAATCGCGTCAAAGAATGAAAATGCGGAACGTTTTTGAATGGATGTTGGTCGGTCGGTTAGTTTGCAGTTTCACAAGCATCAACCCAACAATTGTATACATCGATGGGCTCCGATAAGAAATTGATTTCCGTCTGATACTCCTCCGAACAAACACGACACTGTATTCGCGCCGAATTTCGACTTTTATCCCTGTAAAATACAACACAAAGAATGAACACCATAATCAAATTTCATTGGAAACTCGGTGTTTCTGTCTTGCCGGTAATTTTCATCACCGGGCGCATAATTCCAATGTACGGCACTTACATTTTTACTTCGCAGGATTTTTCGTGATTGCAAAATGGACAGTTGAATTGTGTGTCAAGTGGTTGAATTGCCTTTCGTTTTGGCGGTGGCTTATTCTTTGCCTTTCGTCGACCCATCTTTGATGCTTTTGCACGCTCGAATCGCTGCCGATATTATTCTAAATATAAAAATCGCTTTCGATCGCGTTCAATCGAAAAATTTACCACAAAATTCACGGTAACAAACTAATTAAACTTTAAATATGGTTTTTTTACCGACAGAAGATTGTTATTGATCGCTGTTGTAAATGCAAACAAATGCTTGACGCGCTACGCGGGCCCAAATGTCAAAATTCACCACACACACACACACAATCAACATACACACGCACACATTTACGACATTCACGACTGTCGGATTAGTCGAACAAATGACAACTCACCAAGTATTCGAAACAAATCCCACTGAATTACAAACTCAGGTTCGTGAACAGCACAAATCGTTGCTATTGGAAGCACAAAATGCGAGTAAATTGTTGGCCGCCGTTGATTTGGTCAATCATCATATGAATCAATTGGAAATTGGTGCTGAACGACTTAAGAG